AGAGTCCCATTGTGTGACTTTGTAAATGGTCCAATTCGGACCGAAACGTCGTCGTAAGCTCCTCTCTTCTATTGGCGGGTTATTTGTGTATCGTTCCAGTCACGGTATTGTGCCTTTTTTTGTTATTTAACCATACAGAGTATTGCCATCCTGTTGGGTTTAACGGAAGTCAACACAGATGGCAGGCAAATCTTTTAATCTTTTAGTTAGGTTCAATATACACTTAGATTTACTTTTCGGAGTTTTTTAATAGTTGTCATTCCTGTATATTTCTTTTAAATTTATGATGTCTGAAACCTGGAAGCGAGGGTTATGATCCCTGGATCCATTAAGTGATAAACCCGTGTGGGTCATTCAGCACAGGGAGTGGTGAAGGCTCTATTCTTCATCACCAAATCACAGAGTTTTCAGAAGCTTGACCCCTCAAGGAAGGTTCCTTGATGTTGGTGAGGGGCTCTTGATTTAGGGAATTGGATCTGCGCTCCAGTTCCCCGAATTAAGCCTGAATGCCTTCCACATCCCCCCCCAGGCGCTGTATAATCCTCCGGGTTTAGCGCTTCCCCCTTGATTATAATAATAATAATCACCTGGTTGATACTGTCCCAGCTGGCACTCTCTTCCACCACCACCACCTGGGCATCTTTATTCAGAGACGTTTCACATACCAGGACTTTTATCAGCCTAATGCAGAGACGAGACTAGCGCCTTTTATATTAGTCAAAATATTAGGTTGACGAAACCTTGGTGGGCGAGACGCTTTTCTGTAAAGATACCCAGGTGTTGCACATAGGTCTTATTCGTCAACTTACCTGTGTTATACGGGTATACACTTTATCTAAAGATACTTGCCTAGCAATGCAACAGCATGGAGTCTTGGTATAGAGAATACAGCTCGATTGCTAAATCACTGACCCACCTTATGTCCTTGACCCACTTCCACTATTGGCGAAACCTGTCTTATTTATATACATTTTTGTTATTTTAACAATGAAAGCAAAAGAGAAACACAGGTGAATTTTTAAATCTACATTATTATTATTATTATTATTATTATTATTATTATTATTATTATACTTGGAAACGAGAGATACAACCTCATAGATCATAGGACAACGGGTAATGTTGAGCGTAACGTGGGAGGTTTATCATAGGTAAATACAAACTGATATTTACCTATAGTGTGGGTGATAAGAGAGTGGAGGGGGATGACGTCTGAGAGTAGGTAAACACTTATCTTAACACAGTAGGTAGACACTTAACACAGTAGGTATAATGCGATCCTTTGTCGACTATGTTTCTCCCACACACTGGGCTTTGTCAAGTCACATCAAGTCGTGTCGGTATTCTATACCATTTACCTCCACAGTATTAAGCTATAGTAGTTTAGGTGAGTGTAGGCAGTATTTAAGTATACATGTATCATTTGAGGTATACTGTATTCTGTTATGTTTCTTGAAGCGCTAAACCCGTCTGTAGCGCTTCAAGAATGAGCCTAGGCTCATTCTTTTGCTCTCTAGTCGTTACTCTTGTGATATGCTTTGGAGCAGATTATAAAGGGCATATCATGTTTAGTAATGTGAATATATTCCAATCCCTAAGTTTAAATTTGCATATACAATCAATTTCAAGACAGTTCTACTTGTGTGACATCTCTGCTTAATAAAGTTTAATAGATACACAAACACTGAAATATTATTGTCCTCTGTGGCATTCACATGTGTTTCATTCATAACAAAAAAGTTTCTCTTGTGAGAATAATAATAATAATAACAGTAATATATTATAATCTCAGGAAGAAATGAAATATTTGGTTGCATGTTGTTATATCTGCTGATTCAAATCCCTGCAGGTTTTGCATATTTTTCCTCCCTGGCGTAGGCGAACCTCTGGCAGAGGTCTGTCTTTTTCTCTCAATAAAACCTTGAGTTACTGAAGTATTTCTTGTTTGTGTGGTGAGTGCAGGGCCCTGCTAACACGACATACACAATAAAGTATGTATGTATAATGTTTGTCAGGAAACGGGAGTTACCTGACGCAGGTCTTAGTCATATGATCCGCAGCTGGAGATTTTGGTCATCTGATCGTGGCCTTCCGCTGGCTTGACGGTCCACCCCTTTAAAAATTATGTTTATGATTATAACATATACAATACACATCAAAGTGTATCTCAGCATTATATATATATATATATATATATATATATATATATATATATATATATATATATATATATATATATGCAATAAGATCACAGTAAACAGGTGATTTTAGAATATGTAAAACAACCACTCTGAAAGAAAGAGAAATTCCAAGCGCTTTCGTGACTACTCACATTATCAAGGAACTATTGATAATGTGAGTAGTCACGAAAGCGCTTGGAATTTCTCTTTTCTTTCAGAGTGGTTGTTTTACATATTCTAAAATCACCTGTTTACTGTGATCTTATTGCATATATATATATATATATATATATATATATATATATATATATATATATATATATATATATTATATATATATATATATATATATATGTATATTTTACACACACACACTCACTAAGGGTTTACTTTAGTTCATCTTTTAACAATGAAAATCATTTTCATTTTCAAAATGTACGTAATTGTTGCAGAATTAGACAACTTTAATTTCGTACTTTTTTCAAAAGTCTCTTCTTATGAAAACATTTCGAGAAGATTAAAACTAGAACTTAAAATTGCTGGACACTAGTTAAGTCAGATTAGTTGAATGTTGAGTTAAATATAATTATATAAGTCGTCTTAAGATCAAACTTTTAAATTATTATTTTTTTTATTAACATAACGGCCGATTCCCACCAAGGCAGGGTGGCCTGAAAAAAAGAAAAACTTTCATCATTCACTCCATCATTGTCTTGCCGAGGGGTGCTTTACACTACAGTTATAAAACTGCAACATTAACACCCCTCCTTCAGAGTGCAGGCACTGTACTTCCCATCTCCAGGACTCAAGTCCGGCCTGCCGGTTTCCCTGAATCCCTTCATAAATGTTACTTTACTAACATTCCAACAGCACGTCAATTATTAAAAACCATTTGTCTCCATTCACTCCTATCAAATACGCTCACGCATGCTTGCTGGAAGTCCAAGCCCCTCGCACACAAAGCATCCTTTACCCCCTCCCTCCAACTCTACCTAGACCGACCCCTACCCAGCCTTCCCTCCACTACAGGTTCATACACTCTCGAAGTCTCTGATTTGCTCCATTCTCTCTGCATGTCCGAACCACCTCAACAACCCCTCCTCAGCCCTCTGGATAATAGTTTTGGTAATCCCACACCTCCTCCTAATTTCCAAACTACGAATTCTCTGCATTATATTCACACCACACATTGCCCTCAAATATGACATCTCCACTGCCTCCAGCCTTCTCCTCGCTGCAACATTCATCACCCATGTTTCACACCCATACAAGAGTGTTGGTACAACTATACTCTCATACATTCCCTTCTTTGCTTCCACTGACAAAGTTCTTTGTCTCCACAGACTCCTTAGTGCACCACTCACCCTTTTCCCCTCATCAATTCTATTATTCACCTCATCCTTCATAGACCCATCTGCTGACGCGTCCACTCCTAAATATCTGAATACATTCACCTCCTCCATACTCTCTCCCTCCAATATATCCAATCTTTCGTCACCTAATCTTTTTGTTATCCTCATCACCTTACTCTTTCCTATATTCACTTTTAATTTTCTTCTTTTACATCCCATACCAAATTCATTTAATTTGGGTAACAGAACTTTGTGTGTTAAAACGGCGATGTTAATGCTTGAACATAGTTATACAAAACTCTACTGAAAATTTAAGTTATAGCAGTCACTGGGGGTAAAAAAAAAATAGTGGTGATCAGTGGGATTGTGGTGGATACTTTGGACTGTGGGTGGTGGGCACTAACAGCTTGATTTTTCATTCATTATTATTATTATTATTATTATTATTATCATTATTATTATTATTATTATTATTATTATCATTATTATTATTATTATTATTATTATTATTATTATTTATTATTATTATTATTATATAGACGAGGATGCATAATGGGATGCAATATATAAATCTGCGGTGGAAAGGAAGGAAAAGGGCCATCCCAGGAAGGGTTGGAAGGAGTGGGCGAAAGAGGTTTTGAGTGCTAGGGATTTGATCATTCATCAGGCTTGTGTAAGCACGTTAGAACGTAGTGAGTAGAGACAAGTAGTTTTTATGACCTGACATGCTGTTGGAGTGTGAGCAAGTTAACATTTATGAAAGAATTCAGAGGAAACCGGTTAGCTGGACTGAGTCCTGGAGGTATGAAGTACAGTGAATGCAACCTGAATGAGGGATGGGGAAGGGATGTTGCGGCTCGGAGGACCATCAGATCTGTGAAAGATAAGTAATCATGTCTGATGCAAGGAACAAGATGGTAGCTGCAATGCCTTGGACGAACAGCTTTGTAACATCATTGCCTTTCCCTAGAAGGGTTCATGGGAGGAGGCGAGGAAGATATATGTGACAGTAGCTGATAGGTGCAAACGGCAGTAATTATCTAAGATTATTGACGAGCCAGCTGTCTATCCTCACTCATGCATTATACAGTCTACGTGTGTGAATATTCACAATATGTTAATATTATATAATAATATTAAGGTAACTGAAACGAGCAGTTCTTTCACGTTTCAGTGTGTTCCTTGAATCAGGAGTATGGTGAAGGCTGTGTTTTTGTAAATAAAATGGTTGCCATTGACTTGAATAAAGAGAGGATAACATGAGTTAGTTTGTTAAGTTTAAATTATACATATATATCAAATACACGTGGGCCATTGGGCTGCAATTCACCTGTACACTATTAAGAATCCTTGCATCCCCAAAATAGGAATTAAAATTAATTCATTGTGTACACAAGGGGTATATACGACTTTCCGTAAATTTACAGTACAGTACATATATATTTCTCTGTGCATTGACTACCATGTGTAAAGTAAGTAATGAAGTGAGGAAGTAATAGTTGGTGGGGGCATTGATGAGTGCTGAGACACCCCCGGCTAGCCTCAGTCAGTCGACCGCTCCACTCAGGGGAGGACGTGTGTAGCAGCTCCGTTCCTTACCGTCGCTTAACCTTGCACAAGTTAGACCTTTTATGGGTTTAGTACATACTAAATTACCCGTGAAGCAGTGTTATGATACTGGATAATGTATATGTGATGACCGTTATCATGGTAGAGAAACAAGGCGGTGGGGTGTTACTTTTGAGCTGGTGCAGGACCTTACCACAACTTTGGAAGTACAGTATACCTGTAATCTACTGTTACTATTTCTCTAGCTAGTGTTATTGTTTAATTTTTTTTTTTTGCCTGAAAACTGGCGAGTTTTCTTCAGTGTATTAAATTTACTCCTCGATTACCCTTTAAGGGTTTAGCGTAGTTTTCTTCGATTTAAGCTTTTTGGACGAAAACTAGTTAAGGCGTGTTAAAGGTACTGTGAAACCATTAGTTCGTTGAAAGTAGTCTGTACATTTCTGCAAGTTCTTCCTAGCACCGACAGAAAGATATTGGCAGATGGTTTTAAGTTAAACCAGTTTTTTCTTAGCCATTTTGTATATGTTACTATATAAAATCTGTCCTGGTGGCTAAAGCTCGCGCTTCACACACGGAGGGCCCGAGTTCGATTCCCGGCGAGTGGAAACATTTCGACGCGTTTCCTGACACTGTCCTGTTCACCTTGCAGCAAATAGGTACCTGGGTGTTGGTAGACTGGTGTGGGTCGCATCCTGGGGGGACAAGATTGAGGACCCCAATGGAAATAAGGTAGTCCTTGATGACGAACTGACTTTCTTGGGTTATCCTGGGTGGCTGACCCTCCAGGGGTTAAAAATCCGAAGAAAATCTTGTCTTAATTTAAAATTGATGCATCTTGCGTAAAACACCCCTCATCTTGAGGAAATACTTAGTGATGAGCCATGTTAATTTTTGTGCTTTATTTATTACTAACCCTTATAAATATTGATTCCCCTCTCCTCTACAGAAGTGGGGTTAAATCTATTTCGAAAACTGGTTTTATTCCTTGTTATTACTTTAATTTAAAAGTTGTGAAAGACATGATTAAAGTTAATAGATTAACTTTACCTCTGTAATACACTCGTAGGCAACTGGATTGAGACCTACCTTTAAAAGGTATGTATAACTAAACCATTAAATTTAAGAGGCGACTACTATTAATCTGATTTACAGGTAGATCAGTGGTAGTTTAGTTGAATTCTCGACCAGAGGTTTTCGTGGCTTAAAGTAACAGTACCGTTAAATGTGATATTGGATAAAATCTAATGACTGTAAACACCCCCCTCCCTCTATTTCTTTGAAGGGGGGGGGGTTGCTCGTCTTTAGGGCTCTTTCAGTAGAATTGATTTAAATGATTGAATTACTTTGCATTTTAATTTTGTAACCCCCCCCCCTTCCTTCAGTAGTCGTAATCTACACCACTAAAGGACTGTAGTGGGCCTTCATGACTCGAAATCGTAATAGCACCATCCCCCCCCCCAAAAAAAAAAAAAAAAAAAAAAAAAAATATATGGTAAGTCCCTCTTGCCAACCCTTTCCTCAAACGCTTGAAATTCCTCAACTTGTACTCCCTGGAACACAGGAGGGAGAAATGCATGATTCTATACACTTGAAAAATCCTAGAGGGATTAGTATCAAATTTACACACGAAAATCACTCCTCTGAAAGTGCATATGATGCAACATCCCCGCAATGAAAAGCAGGGGTGCCACTAGCACAATGAGAACAGTGTCGGGGGCCCATGACACTTCATCTGCCTCTCAGCATACGTAAGGGGGATTACCAATAGACCCCTGGCTGTCTTCAGGAAGGTACTCGACAGGCACCTAAAGTCGGTACCTGACCAACCGGGCTGTGGTTCGTACGTAATTACGTGCGGCCAACAGTAACCGCCTGGTTGATCAGGCCCTGATCCACCATGAGGCTTGGTCACAGACCGGGCCGCGGGGGCGTTGACTCCCAAAACCCTCTTCAGGTATACTCCAGGTGAACCTATTTATCCCTCTCCTCCCGGGAAGGAGCAGACAGTTCATATTTTTTTTGTGAACAGCGCCCCCTCTTAATGTGGACTGTTTAAAATTTCTTATTTAAATGTGCTGAAAATATTTGTATTGGTATTGAATTTTTAAATTTAGGAAGTACGTGGGGTAAGTTCTGATTTGTTGCTTGTATATTGTAACTCTCATTGAGCAGTTAACCCTTATGGATCAATATTTCAAGCTACTTCAGGTAGCTTTTGTAGGCTGGATGGGTGTAAGTATAGGGGCTCTTCAGTGTTAGTCTCATATTCCTTTAATTTTTAGGTTGTGGTATAGACTTTATAGAAGTATTTCATACACTTTCAAGTCACGAGGACATGTGGTATGGACGCAGGTCAGATTTAAACTGGAATAACTAGTTTTCATAGGTGCTTCCGGTAGAGCCTTTAAGTTGGGTGCGAGTCTTGCTCATTTAAAAGCCATGTACCTTAATTTATGGGCCGATGTTAGTGCCTATGTCCTTACAGCTGTAGGTGTTAAGTTGGTAGATGGTTGACGAGGCCTAAGTTTTCTTGCATGTTGGCCCTTTACAGGATGCAACTTTCCCGTTGCATTTCTTGCAGAGGGTGCTAAAAACCCGTATTGGGTAATCCAAGATTACTATAAAACTAAAGAACAAACACTGCTGTAGATCTGCTGGTCAATGGTAGGCAGATCCAGTTCACGCCCACTAGTATAGTATTTAAACTTCTCAAAGCTTCTCTTCAGTGGGGGGGGGGGGGGAACTTGCTTTCAAGTTATGTTCGTATTTTGAACCCGTCGACGACTGTCCCATTTCCCTCTCATGGGAGGTTCCTTGGCGCCGGTGAGGGGCTCTTGATCTAGGAAATTGGGTCTGCACTCTGGTTCCCTGAATTGAGCCCGAATACCTTTCCTCTATACCCACGTGCGCTGTATAATTCTGTTTAGCGCTCCTCCATGATTATAATAATGTCCAATTTCCATTGGAGTCGTTCAGTCTTGTCCCTTCATGTCACCCACAAAGTCTTGTACCTGCTGACAAAGGACAGCAGGTGTAAGGAAACTCGGCTTTTCCACCCGATCGAACCACGCAGGTTTACTTTTTTTATATAGAAATCAGGCTTCCCCCCCCCCTTCCCCTTTGTTATTAGAGTATCTAAAGTAGCCTAAAATTAACTCATCATAACTACTGGACGAATAATTTGATTTAAAAATTGCTAAAGTTCAGTCTTGGATATTAACACTAATTTGATTACTACTTACCAACATTTGTAATTTAAAAATGCTAAGTAAATACTAATAATTTAAGTATTACTGCCCAGATTATGCAGTATCTTGAAGGCCCAGAGCATGCATACTATCTTGGATGCTTATTGTTTTAGACCTATTATATAATAGTGCTGGATGAGTTTAAGCTTGCTGTCAAGGTATAGGCTTAACTTTTCCCTTTAGTTCTTAATTTGGAAGATTTCGGGGAACTCTTGCCTGAGCATTTAAAGTTTGGATTTTTAGTCAGTATCTTATACTGAAGAAATCATTTAGTACGACTCTGCAGGGTGGATGCAAGGGTCAAGTTTAGTCTGCTATTGGTCAGAGTCCAGGTTTTCATATAATTTTCAAGGTCTTTTTCATATTCCCTTTAAATTTCATTGAACTTTCCTAACCGTCCTTATTAAATTGGAAAGTACTTTGGTTTGTCTACACGGTTCATCAGGAAACAGGACAAGCACTTCCTTAGTCGTATGATGAACGGCAATTGGAGCTTGTGGTCATCTGATGGAGGCCTTCGCTGGCTTACCAGTCAATCTCTTTAGAAATTATGGTCATAGTTACAGCCATTTTACTTGGTTTGTTTCTTAAGCCCAATCTGTTAATGAATGGGTCAGATATTCTGACCCATTCATAAATTTCCTACCTCGTTCCCAAGGGCAGTATGTGACCCTTGTGGGTTTAGCGTTCCCACATGGTGTTTAAAAAGTACCGTGGTTAGACCATATTGCCAAATGTATGAAGATATTTCAGAATTTGGCTGAAAGTTAAAATGACAGCCTGGCAGCAAAAAATGTGGGCCTGTTAAATTTTATGAAATGTTAGGGGTAAAGAAAGCAACTAACAATCTGGTATTCCCTTCATGAGTTTGGCCGAGTTAGGAAGTTGTTCTCACAACTGTTAATTTTTAAGGGACTAAATCTGTTGTATAACCTTCCTATGTTAATAACTTTAGATAACTAAGAACAGTAAGATTTTCTACTTAATAGGCTGTCTACATAATATGCAAGACATGTTTAATTGCCCAAAATGCATTGCATAATTATCTTCATGCATGTTGTATTTATTCACCTAAGCATACGTATATGGTGGGATGGAAGTACTAATTGGAATGAGAATAGTAAATGTTAGCACATCAGGTTTCTTACAAAGTAAAGTGGATGAAAGGTGAGTAGTATATGGAGAGAGGTTGAGTGATGGAATGTAAAAGCAAATGAGTGGGTGAGATGCTATCAACAAACTTTGTTGAATAAAAAAATTTTGGTGTGAAAAAAGTCGAAAGCCTAGGAAACAAATGGATTTGACAGTGAAAACTAGTTTTTAGATGGATAGTTAAGAGGTATTGGGAAAATGGGGAGGGGGGGGATATTTTGAGGAACTATAAATATTGAAGATAGGAAAGCTGTGATTTCATGTATTGGGCAGGGAGGTATAACACTTGCAGCGTGAGGAAGAGCCAGTTGAGTATGGGGAAGTGAGGCAATTGGTAGAATGAAATGGGGTAAAGCAGCTGGAATTGATAGGGATAGAAATGTTAAAAGCAGGTGGGAATAGTTTTGGAGTGGTTAGTGCTTTTACTTAAATGTATGGAAGAGGGTAAGGTACCTAGGGATTGGAAGAGAACGTTCATAATTCCTTTGTAAAGGCAAAGGGGAGAAGAGTAAACTACAAGGGAATAGGTCTAAGTATACTTGGTAAAGTGTGGTAGTTATTATTGAAAGAAATAAGATACAGCAGGATCAGATGAACAAGGCTTCAGGAAAGGTAGGGGGTGTAGTGTTTACAGTGAAACTTGTAGTTGAACAGTATATTTAGATGAGGGTAGAGGTTTTTGTGGTATTTATGTATTTGGAAAAGTCGTATAAGGGGGGGGGATGTGGCAGGTGTTGCAAATGTATGGAATAGGAGGTAGGATACTGAAATCGGAAGACTTTTTACAAGGTCACTGAGGCTCAAGTTAGTATGTATGAGATGGAGATTTTCGTAATAAAAGTAGGCCTTGGACAGGGATTTGTGGTGTTTAATGTAAGTGAATGCTCTGGTGTTGGCAAGAGGTGTGGGATTAACAAATCTTAACAAGGTGGGAGTTGTCGGTTGCTTTTTGGGAGAGTTGCAGAGGTTGGCAGAAATTTGGTAGGATCTGTAAAAGGAGGAAACTAAAATTGAACATAGGAAAGAGTAAGGCGATAAGGATGACAAACTTAGGTAATGAAAAATTGGAGGGAAGGAGTGTGGAGGAAATGACTGTACGTATTCAGATATTCGGGAGTGGTCTTATCAGCAGATGGGTCTGTGAAAGATGAGGTAAACCATAGAATTGATGAGGGAGGGGGTGGGGAGGAGAAAGGCAAGTGGTGTATTGAAGAGTCCTTTGAGATGAAACATTGGCCATGTAAGCAAGGAGGGGAATACGAGAGTAAAGTTGTACCAACTGGTGTGTGAAGCATGGACAGAGAATGTTGCTGCAAGAAGGCTAGAGGCAGATGTAGTGTCTGAGGGCAATATGCAGTGTGAATATAATGCAGAGAATCGATAGTTTGTAAATTAGGAGGTGCGGGGGTTAAAATTATCGAGAGGGCAGAGAGGGGTTGCTGAGGTTTCCATGTTTAGAAAATATGGAACAAAATAGAATGACTTAGAGAGTGCATAAATCTGTAAGGGAAGGAAGGTGGGGTAGGGGTCAACCTAGGGAAGGTCGGAGGGGGGGGGGGGTAAGAAGTTGTGTGCAAGGTGCATGGATTTCCAAAAAGCATGTCAGTGTTAGTGAATGGACAGTTTTTATTACTTGGGTAATATGGCAGGCTGGACTTTAATCCTGGAGGAGGGAAGTACAGTGCCTGCACTCTGAAGGAATGGTATTGATAAGTTGCAGTTTAATAACTAGTGTAGGCATGCCTCTGGAAAGTGATGGAGTGAGTGAAGAGTTTCTTTTGGGTTACCCTGCCTTGGTGGGGAAATGGCAGATGGTTTTAAAAAAAAAAAAAAAAAAAAAAAAAAAATTCTATTGGATGGGGGAAGTGTCCCCTCATCCTTAGAATGTGACTGATTACCAAGTATGCATCTATGAACAGATGCAGCCAGGTCTCCTTGCTCTTGTCAAATTGGTTAAATATTTGAACCCTGAGGTTCACTCCAAAAGATTTTAGTGATTTACACTAAATTTGAGAATACAGTGGTCTCTCGTTTATAGTCGTTAATCAGTTTCTAGAAGTGCGACGATTATCGAAATAACCATTTTCGAATATTTTTCCCCATAAGAAATAATGTAAATAAAATTAATCCGTTCCTGACACCCAGAAGTATTAAAACAAAATTTTTTTACATGAAATATAGATGCAGTACATAAACAATACAATGGGACATGATGAATGAAACATTAACAGCATAACACTTATCTTTATTGGTGATTCATAGTGTATGGAAGACTGGAGGAGAGATTGGATTAGTTATTGTTTGGAAGGGAAATCCCCTTCTATCAACACCTCAGGTACCAAGTCCTTTTTTGGAGTTACATACTTTCTTAATGCCACTAGGACTAGCTCGAGTCACTGGAGTCCTGTCTTGCAAAAAGTGTCCAGAGAGCATGGTTTCTGGCATCTCTTTAAAACTTCCCTAAAATGGGCCAAGACTGGTTGCCGATATGGCTTGCAACATCCTTCTCAGGGTAATAGTTTCTCCATAAATCTTTCCATCCTACCCTACATTTCAAAAATCTCCTTAATTTCTGAAGAAGGCACCTTCCTCCGCAGCAAGATTGAGCTGCGATCTGTTGCTGTTCCTGCCGAAGATCTTGCAGCTCCTCAGTGGTTAGCTCTTCGTTGTGGTCCTCCACCAACTCTTCCACATCCTCCAAACTCGCATCCAACCCCATGGAACTCCCCAATGCCACAATAGATTTCACAATTGACATAGGCTCATCAGGGTCAGCCACAAACCCTTCAAAATCCCTCTTGTGGACACAAATCTGGCCATAATTTTCTCCAAGCAACAACAGCTTCCTTGATTTCCTTTTTCTTTGCCACAATGGAAGATATGGTTTTATGGGGTTTATACATCCTGGCCAGTTCAGCCACATGTATGCCACTTTCATATTGTTCAATGTTTTTCTTAAATTCAGTCATATTTCAAACCTTTACCAAAGGCTTGGCACTAGCTTTCTTTGGAGCCGTGGTAGCTTATTTAGCACTTGCAAGCAATAAAATGGAATACTATTATGAAACGTTTTTTATTACCAAGTAGACAGTTACACTGGCACACTGGCTGGGAAGGGAGGCCAAGGCGGCTCAGAGCCACGAGTACGTGTCCAGGACGAAAGATTATCAAAGTCAGCCGACCATTTGCGAACCAATGTTTGGACAAAAATAACGCGAAGATTTCCGAAAAGGACAACTATCGAGCCCGACAATTATCGAGGGACCACTGTATAACTATGGCATGGTTGGCAATGTTTCATACAGTAGTTTATATACTGTAACTAAAAAAATTGATAATCATTCATGACTATAACAAGTCTTGTTCTAGGCAATTTATAGTCTTATTTTGCTTCAGTGTCGGAGGCATACGTAACATTAGCCACTAATGATGGCTATGCAGTTGGCGCGTTAGTGTTGGGCCATTCCCTGCGTTCAAATCACACCACCAAAGACTTGTGCATATTGATCACTCCTGGTGTTTCACCATCAATTGTGTAAGTATTGTCATAATTTGGTTGCTTTAGTTATAAATTAACTTTTAATTCCTGGACATTTAGCAGTTTATTTGTGCTTGCTGACTGCTCATAAATATTTAGTACTGCCCAATTTTTCCATTAGTTACCCTAGTTAAACTATAAGTTTTAGTTTTCTAGTTTAAAATTCTTCAGTCTTAGATATTTATTTAGTTACTCATTTAACTTCAAGGGCCAGATTGTTTCCTGGCCATGTGTAGTATGGTGTTTTTTAGGTTCACATTGTTGCATGCTCACCAGGCTTGCCCTGGGGGGGGAGGTGGAGGCTACGGGAACTAGGCATGTAGGCTTACTGGCTACATGGTGATTAATACTTCCTCTGAATAGTTGGTTTGCTACACACTATCCCATTACAAACTAAATTTAACTGATAAATACACACAATTTAACTACCCAATAGTATCTCTAATAAACTTTCATTAAAGTTTAATGCTTGTATTGCATTTTTGTGAAGAGCCATTACTTAAAATACAGTACGTACTTTGATAACAAAACTTAAAATTTAGTAAAGTCTACTGGTGCTCTAAAGTACAAAGTTAGAGCATTGCCTACAATTTCAGTTGAAAGTCACTTGTTCAGAAAGTGGTGTGAACTGTACAGTGTAAATCATGCACCAAACATTTGATTTTGCATATGCCATGTATAATTTCCAGTTTTATTTAAAATGTCTCGATTTCTTTTTCAATAATTTGAATAATCTTCAGGTTTTGTATATCAGTAGTTCAATTTCAATTTTATAATCTTTTTAAATACTTAAACCAATCCTACAGAAATGCAAATTAAGGAATTGCTCTACTTTTTCCACTTTGGACAGATTACTTAAAATAGCATAAATATGCTGTAGTACTACTGCACCATGAAGGCTATCCTTTGTGGCCAGATTGAATGTACAAATTAGAAAGTTACAGCACTTGCATGGCTTGATCTCTAAACTGTTGCAGTATTAATAGAAATCCTCTAATGTACAATTTTATAAATTGCACGTTGCCAGTAACCTACAATGAAATGTTCAAGCATATCCTAGGGTGAACTGGTTAAGATAGTGAATGACACTTAATATAATTTCTCCCACAGTTCCATGTTGGAGTCAGTATTCGACAAAGTCGTAAATGTAGATGTTCTGGACTCTGGAGATTCAGCCCATCTGTCCTTGCTGAAGAGACCAGAGCTAGGAGTCACTCTTACCAAACTGCATTGTTGGACACTCGCAGATTACTCAAAATGCGTCTTCCTTGATGCTGATATGTTGGTGAGTGTGAAATGACAAAATTAAGTTTGGTACACTTGCTGCATTAGTATTTACCCAGGTACTTGGCACAAGAAACAACCGTGAAATTTCCAGTAACCTGTTTGTTACTTTCTGTAAAACTCTGCATGTCTGGTTTAGCTGTCCTGCTGAATGTTTGCCAAATGGGCTTTGGTACCAGTTTCTTTAATTTTAGAAATTTCCCTAATTTGGAAATCTTTTTAGCAAATTTACTAACAAAAATGTTTGCTTTGGTGTTCCTATACCACAATATTTCACTATCCGATTACCCAGGAAAGGAGGTAAACCAACTACCCAGAAGCTACCTTAGTACTTAAAATGCCCAATGATGTACATATGATCTGATTTTTCTTTCAGTGTGTGCAGAACCCAGATGATCTCTTCTCTCATCCTGAACTATCAGCAGTTTGTGATATTGGCTGGCCTGACTGCTTCAATTCAGGGATGTTTGTATTTGTGCCTTCACTTGACACCTATGGCAGGCTGCTTCAGCATTCAGAAACAAGTGGTAGCTTTGATGGTGGTGACCAGGGTCTTCTAAACACCTTCTTTCCTAACTGGAATCGTCTCTCCTTTGTGTTCAATATGGTTGCTTCTGCTACATACACCTATTTGCCAGCTTATAAACAGTGAGTTTTGTGAATTTCATATCTTGTAATTTTTTTTGTACAAGACAGTTTGTGGCTCACTGACATGGGAAATGTATAGGTACTAGCTGCCATACTGCATTTTAGCTTTGTAAAGCTGAAATGCAAAAATAGTGGACCCCCGGATAACGATATTTTTTCACTCCAGAAGTATGTTCAGGTGCCAGTACCGACCGAATTTGTTCCCGTAAGAAATATTGTGAAGTAGATTAGTCCATTTCAGACCCCCAAACATAAACGTACAAACGCGCTTACATAAATACTTACATAATTGGTCACATTCAGAGGTAATCGTTATGCGGGGGTCCACTGTACTAGTAGTAAATTTTAAATTTCTTTAGAATGGTTTTTTCCAGAAACATTGCTAGCTGATGTTTTGAAGGTGGGTAGCATTAAATTCAAAGCATCCAGATGTGCCAAGTGAGACATTTATATATAATCATCTATTTTTATATATATTTATATATTTATATTTTATATATTTTATATATTTTATATTTTTATATATTTTATATTTATATTTTATATATTTATATTTATATTTTATATATTTGTATGTATATTTATGATGAATGGTTTGTAAAACCGACAAGTTGAAGATTGAGACACTTATGCAGCATATGGGAATCTTTATTCAGGAAACGTTTCACCACACAGTGGCTTCATCAGTCCAATACAAAGAGGAAGGCGTAAGGAGAGGAGTAGTATGAGGTAATCAGTCCCTCAGCCTGGAGTCGGTGTTCAGTCCATCAATCTTGTAGAATGTACATTCTACAAATTGATGGACTGAACACAGACTCCAGGCTGAGGGACTGATTACCTCATACTACTCCTCTCCTTACGCCTTCCTCTTTGTATTGGACTGATGAAGCCACTGTGTGGTGAAACGTTTCCTGAATAAAGATTCCCATATGCTGCATAAGTGTCTCAATATATATTTATATAATTTATATATTTATATATATATTATATTATTTTATATAATTTGTGTGTATCCAACAAGTCGGCAGTCTCCCACCAAAGCAGGGCGACCCAAAAAGAAAAAAATCCCCAAAAAGAAAATACTTTCATCATTCAACACTTTCACCACACTCACACATTATCACTGTTTTTGCAGAGGTGCTCGGAATACAAGAGTTCAGAAGCATAAAAGTATAAAGATACACAACATATCCCTCCAAACTGCCAATATCCCAAACCCCTCCTTTAAAGTGCAGGCATTGTACTTCCCATTTCCAGGACTCGAGTCAGACTATATGAAAATAACCGGTTTCCCTGAATCCCCTGTCCGTCTACTTCCTCAGACCGAACCTAATTACCCCCAATCCCCCGTTCCCTATCCCATCCTCCCCTTTTTCCTTTCCTCCTCCTCCCCCCACCCCTCCCTTTTGCCATTCCTTTTAGGGCTTGTTTTTTTTTTTTTTTTTTTTTTTCTCTCCCACAGGCACGCTAGTTCCTAGGTAGGGGAAAGGGTACCGGGGTCCATCCCATTCCGTTGAGTTTCTTGGCGGTGGCATAGTTTGCCATGGCATCTGGATTGCCTGGGGATGTCCTGATCCCTCTCCGGTATCCCGGAGGGTGGCTTTGGGTGTGTCTCGGGCGACGGGTGTATCTCTGGAAGCCACCTTTCGGATTCCGGGGGTGGTGGCCGAAGGAGGTATGCTTTGTGGCGGATTTCCGGCCGCCCTCTTTTGTCCACCGAGGTAGCTCGGCAGATGTGAGGTTGCTATCCCGGATTACCGGTTTACTGGCATGATGGGTAGGGTATGGCACGGGTTCCATGCTGCATCTGCGCTACTTGCGGTGCTGAGGTCCTCTTGGGCGCGGAGGGAGATTTCTGGCCCTTTCATTCCTCCTAGGAACTATCCCTCCCCGGTCCCCCCTTTTTTTCTTTTTTTTTTTATTTTTCTTTTTCTTAAAAAACAAAAAGAAAAGTAACCTAACCATGGCAGCCCTAGTCCATGAACCTGCTACCCCTGGGCCCCTTCTTGATGCCGCACCCCGTTCTGACCCCGCCCAGTCTTTGGACCACTCTTTGGACACTCCTCATGCCTCTGTACCTCTTGCCGGTGCTGTTTCCTCACCCGCTTCAGGTACTGAGGCCTCGACTGACTCCTTCGATTTATCTGACTTCGCTCTCCTCTGACTATGCTTCCGGCCTCTCCCTCTACGGTGCGGCAATTTTCGAATCGCCGGCCCGTTCCACGTCGGACCAACTCTGGTCCCACACCTAAATGACAATTACCTGCTGATGATGCTTCTCCACCTTCTCGTTCTTCTCAGAAAAGATTGACACATCCTTCACTACCTTTCCACGCTCGGTTTCAGACTGCACAATGGATTAAATTCTTCACTTTACGACCGACTATCTCTACTGCCTATCTTTCTGACCACAGTATTGGCAAGGCACTCCTATGCCATGTTGGTAAAGATATTTCTTTTCATGCTCTTGAGAGCGGTACGCGCATCGTCACCGTACAGAATGCTACCCAGGCTCATGAGCTTTCTCGTCTTTCCCATGTCAATACTGTTCCTGTAACTATTGAAAAGCATCGTTCCCTCAATTCGTGTAGTGGTACCATCATTCTGCCCCATACCATAGTTCAACAAAATTTCCAGACATGTGGCACTGACATTCTTGAACAGCTGGAACTCCAAGATCTCCCAATCCTCAAGGTAGACACTTACGTTCTTCCTGCCCGCAGGAGGAGACGATACCCTAGCAATGTGGCTCGTTTAACTTTTGACAGCCGTGAACTCCCATCCTCAGTTTATGTAGCAGGACATCGGTTACAAGTTCGAAAGGTGATCCCTACACCGCAACAGTGTAGAAATTGCTGGCGATTTGGCCATCCAGCGAAATATTGCAGATCTATCGCCGAATGCCCAGTCTGTGGTGCCGATGACCATTCTAATACGTCTTGCAGTCGACCTCCCTCTTGCCTTAATTATCATGAGGCTCGCCCTTCGTACTCTCGCCGTTTTAAAGTCTACTTAAACGAGCGGGAAATCCGTTACCTCAGAGGCAGAAGGTCTCCCTTGTGCCATGGTAGTTTCTCATCTCCGCCTCCAAGGGAGACTACCTCGTGTTTCTTATTCCCGTGTTTCAAAACGTCCCCCCCCCACTTCTGGTATCCCATCTTCTGCACCCACCTCTGTGGTTACCTCTTCCATAGTCACTCCTGTAGCTAATTCTTTTGCTGTCCTCGGCTCAGACGTCCCTACTTCAACGTCTCGGTCTGATCTTGCTTCTTCGTGTTCTCTCACAAGCCTTAGTAGCAACGAGATCTCGTATGACACCTCCTCCCAATCGTCCCTCTACTTCTCAAAAGTTAAAAAAAGGTCCGTTAACACCTCCTACCCATCTTCCCCCTCATTTTCCCTTCCCTGTCTCTGTACCTGGTTCTCCCTCTCACTCGCTCTGTTACAAGTGTAGAGGTTCACCCTCCTCCTAGTATTATACCTTCCTCCCCTGTTCCCTCTCAAGTTTCTTTCTCTTCGGCCACCTCCCAGGTTTCTGCCTCTTCTGTCCCCTTTCCACGCTTCTCCAGTTCCCTCCACCCTTCCGTCCCCCTCTACCTTGGTACAGGTCCATTACAGTTCCAATCTTTACTCATCCTCCCCCTACCATTTTCCAATATTTTTCTCCCATACGACCCTCTCTGAATTCTGAAACGCTTGAAGCAATCTCTGAATATATTGCAAAAGACCAAACCATCAATGGACACTGATCCACCCTCCGCTCCTTCTCTCTCCTCTACTCCATCTGCGCAACTCCTTTCTTCATAGCGCACTGTTCCTTCGCTGCTTGAACATTTTCCACTGCCTCCGCATGTGGACTTCTCTAACCCCTCTAGTCCGTAGGAACCCTTACCTGCGGATTTCAGGTATCTTTATCATTGCCAATCGTGGCCTATTTACAGTGGAATATACGCGGCCTCAGGGGTAATCGAGGTGAGCTTCAGATGTTACTCTCCCAGTTTTCCCATGTTGGTGTTTGCTTACAGGAACCAAAATTACTCTGCTGTTCTCTCCCATCTCAGGTTATAATTTATTGTATTCTTCAGATCCTTTTCCTGATGGGACCTTTAATGAAAGTGCCCTTCTACGCACTGATATTCCGTACCATCAGTTGTTTGTTCGTACTTCGCTGCATTACACACCAGCCCGTATCCACTTGCATAGGTGGTATACGCTCTGTTCTTTATCTCTCTCCTTCTCGGGCTTCATCTATTCCGGATATTGCCTTTGTTTCGTCATTACCACCACAGATTCTGTTACTTGGTGATTTTAATGCCCACCATTTCCTCTGGGGGGGGGGGGTCGTCTCGCTGTGATTCCCGTGGCTTTCAGTTAGAGGCTTTTCTTGCCACCCACCCCTTCCATGTTTTAAATACAGGTACTCGCACCCATTTTGATCCTCAGACTCGCACTCTTGCATGGATCTCTGTCTGCTCTTCCTCCGCTGCATTAGACTTCACTTGGTCTGTTCTTCCGGACTTGCATGACAGCGATCATTTCCCAATCATTCTTACTTCCCCTTCATATTCACCACCTCTTCGCATCCCACGCTGGCAATTTGATCAGGCAAATTGGAACCTTTACTCACACGTAACTGTTTTTAGAGAGGTTCCTTCTTCGTCCTCCATCGATGGGCTTTTACACTCTTCTCGTCCTCCGTTTTAATCGCAGCTTCTCATTCTATACCCCAAACTTCGGGCAGGCATTCTCAGAAATGCATGCCTTGGTGGTCTCCTGCTTGTGCTCGTGCAGTACGTTTGAAATGCGCTTCATGGGGCAGGTACTGGTACAATAGAACCACAGACTTCTTGAATTTAAGCAGAAGCGTGCGATCGCTCGCCGTGTCATCCGTGACTCTAAACGCACTTGCTGGCGAGATTGTCTCCACCATCACCTCTGCTTCCTCTGAGTGCAGTCTGGAAAAAAGTACGAAAACCGAGTGGTAAATATTCTCCTGACCCGGCTCCTGTTCTGCGGGTTGCCGGTGTTGATATAGCAAACCCACTAGATGTTGCCAATGAAATTGGCAATAATCTGGTCCGTATTTCTCGGACTCCATCTATGCCCCTCATTTCTTTCCTCAGTCTGCCAGAGAGTTAGCACCCTTGGACTTTTCTTCTCTCAAGAACAGTATAATGTGCCTTTTACACTTCAAGAACTGGAGGCAACACACTCAGCTTGCCGATCATCGGCAGCTGGGCCCGACGACATTCATATTCGTATGCTACAACATTTACATCAGTCAGCCCTTGCAGTCCTATTACGCCTTTACAATCTTATTTGGTCACAAGGAGTTCTTCCACAGCTGTGGAAATCCACCATTGTTCTCCCTTTCCGCAAACCAGGCACTACGGGACATGAAACCTCCCACTATCGTCCCATTGCTCTTACCAGTGCAGTTTGCAAAGTGATGGAACGCCTAGTAAATAGAAGTTTAGTGTGGTATTTAGAGACACGCAAGTCTTTGCACTCGTCAATATGGCTTTCGTAAGGGACGTTCTACCATAGACCTCTTACTACGCTTGGATACGTATGTTCGTAATGCCTTTGCGAATAACCACTCGGTTATTGCCATATTTTTTGACCTTGAGAAGGCATATGACACAACTTGGAGGTATAATATTTTAGCCCAAGCCCACTCCTTAGGCCTTCGAGGCAATCTACCATCCTTCCTTAAGAACTTTTCAACTAACAGGCATTTCCGTGTTCGGGTTAATGTGCTCTCCCCGGACTTTATCCAAGCTGAAGGTGTCCCCCAGGAATGTGTTCTGAGCACAACACTTTTTCTCCTTGCTATTAATGATTTGGCCTCTAGTCTTCCATCAAATATTTGGTCATCACTCTGTTGATGACTTCGCTATTGCCTGTGCAGGCGCTGACTGTCACCTTATTACAGTTTCTCTCCAGCATGCAGTCGACCGTGTTTCCAATTGGGCCACCACATGTGGGTTTAAATTTTCCAGCACTAAAACCCACCAAGTTACTTTCACTAGACTGTCATCTCCGATCATCCTTTGTACTCTATGGCTCCCGTATCCCAGAACGTGATAGTTTCTGGGCCTCCTCTTTGATCGTAGGTTATCCTGGAAACCTCGCATCACCTCTCTGAAGGCAACTTGCCACAGCCGGCTGAACCTCCTTAAAACCCTTGCTCTTCTTTCATGGAGCTGATCGTCGAACCCTCCTTCGCCTACATTCCACCCTTATCTTATCGAAACTTGATTATGGTGACCAGATCTATTCAGCGGCATCTCCTGCTACACTCTAGCCTTAACCCCATTCATCACCAAGGATTACGTTTATGCCTTGGTGCTTTTCGCTCTTCCCCTGTCGAGAGCCTCTATGCAGAAGCGAATGTTCCATCCTTATCTGATCGCCGTGATGCCCATTGCCTTTGCTACTATGTACACTCATGATCTCCGCAATCCTTCCATTTATAGAATGGTCACTGATATTAGTAGACATTCTTCATTTGTTCTCCATCCCTTCTCTCTTCGCCTTCATTCGCTCTTGTCTTCTCTTCAACTACCACCTTTCTATGTACATGTAGCATCTCACTTTTCCCTACCCCCCTGGGAAGTTCCAGCTGTTCGAGTCTGTTCTTTTTCTCTCTCCCTTGCTCGAAAGCCCAACTGTCTATGGTCGCTTCCCGCTCTCATTTTCTTGACCATTTTTCACTCATTCTCGTGCCATTGCTGTGTACACAGATGGCTCTAAGTCTTCTGACGGCGTAGGATTCGCAGCAGTGTTTCCGGACAGCGTCGTACAAGGGCATTTACTATCTTCGGCTAGTATTTTTACTGCTGAATTGTATGCCATCCTTACAGCACTTATCCGTATTGCATCTATGCCTGTGTCATCATTTGTGGTTCTCAGTCTTCCTTAGTGCTTTACAGGCTATACAGAAATTTGATACACCTCGCCCCTTAGTCCTCCGTATCCAACTTTGGCTACGCCGCATCTTTACCAAGCATAAAGATATTTTTTGTTGGGTCCCTGGTCATGCTGACGTACAGGGCAATGAACAGGCTGACACTGCTGCGCAGTCAGCAGTACATGACCTACCAGTTTCATGTAGAGGTATTCCATTTACGGACTATTTTGCTGCAATATCTTCCCAACTTCACACCAGTTGGTAACAACGTTGTCTACTATGCTCGGCAACAAACTTCAATCGATTAAACCGAGTATAGGTTACTGGCCGTCTTCTTATCACCAGTGTCGAGGTTGGGAGACTACTCTCTCCCGTCTTCGCATTGGCCATGCTCGTCTTACTCATGGATATCTCGTGGAGAGGCACCCTGCTCCTCTGAGAATTGCCAAGTTCCATTATCAGTCAGCCACATTCTGTTGGACTGCCCATTTTATCAACGAGCACGCAGAATTTACCTCCGTCGTCGTCTTCGCTCTGCTGCTCTCTACCTTCCCTTCTTGCTGATGGACCCACCTTTCATCCAGACTCTCATTGACTTTTTGACAACTGACTGACTTCACAAATTCTGATACCTTCAGCCCTTTCTACTTCAATCTCTTTCTACCCCATACCCCCGTACTATCCCCTGCCCCGCTGTTTTCTGTAACCTACTGATCATCCCTCCTCCCTTCTGCCATCCAATACCCTCTCTTCTTCCGTACCCTGCAGCGCTGTATAGCCCTTGTGGCTTAGCGCTTTATTGATTATAATAATAATATTTCCCTGAATCCCTTCACTAAATATTACCCTGCTCACACTCCATCAGATAGTCAGGTCCCAAGTATCATTTCTCCATTCACTCCTATCTAACACGCTCATGCACGCTTGCTGGAAGTCCAAGCCCCTCGCCCACATAACCTCCTTTACCCCCTCTTTCCAACCCTTTTGAGGATGACCCCTACCCCTCCATCCTTCCCCTATAGATTTATATGCTTTCCATGTCATTCTACTTTGATCCATTCTCTCTAAATGACCAAACCACTTCAACAACTCCTCTTCTGCCCTCTGACTAATGCTTTTATTAACACACCTTCTCCTAATTTCCACACTCCGAATTTTCTGCATAATATTTACACCACACATTGCCCTTACACAGGACATCTCCACTGCCTCCAACCGTCTCCTCGCTGCTGCATTTACCACCCAAGCTTCACACCCATATAAGTTTTGGTACTACTATTCTTTCATACATTCCCTTCTTTGCCTCCATAGATAACGTTTTTTGACTCCACATATACATCAACGCACCACTCCTTTTTTCCCCTCATCAATTCTATGATTAACCTCATCCTATTAGCTACATAGATTAGGTTAGTGCTGTATGACTAGCAAGTTTAGTGCCTAGTTTTGATCATAATAAGTACTTTTTTTTTTTTTTTTTTTTTTTTTTTTTTTTTTTTTTTTTTTTTTTTAAATTGCTATATTATGCTGTTGCCAATATCTATCAGCTAAATTTTAGATAACCCAAAGCAGGAAGGAGAAATTACCATAAGGAATTTCAGAGCCATATTGGTCACTGGCAAGCCATTGATCACAGCAGCCTCCAAATAAATTCTGTATGTACTTTAATATATAAATATTAACTACTTTAAGAAGTACAAGCAAGATTGCTCCATTCTACAAAGCTGTGCTTTGTCAGTGTGGAAATAAAACTGTAAATCAAGCCTTTTTTTCCAACACTGGCCAACTCCCACCAAGGCAGTAACTAAAGAAAAACTAGTCACTTGTGGCAGAGGTTACTAATACAAAAACTTACAATTCGCTAAAAATGGCAAATATCCTAAACCCCTTCATGCAGTCACTGTATTTCCCACCTCCAGGACTCCACTCCAGCTAACTAGTTTCCCTGAATTCAACATTATTATATACACCTGGAAAATCCTAGAGGGACTAGTACCGAACTTGCACACAAAAATCACTCTACAAAAGCAAAAGACTTGGCAGACAATGCAACATCCCCCCAATGAAAAGCAGGGGTGTCACTAGCACGTTAAGAGACCATACAATAAGTGTCAGGGGCCTGAGACTGTTCAACTGCCTCCCAGCATACATAAGGGGGGATTACCAACAGACCCCTGGCAGTCTTCAAGCTGGCACTGGACAAGCACCTAAAGTCGGTACCTGACCAGCCGGGCTGTGGCTCGTACATTGGTTTGCGTGCAGCCAGCAGTAACAGCCTGGTTGATCAGGCTCTGATCCACCAGGAGGCCTGGTCAGACTGGGCTACGGGGGCATTGACCCCCGGAACACTCTAGGTAAACAGCTTGACAAAGCTCCTGGAGAGTAAAATGTTCCCACAATAAAATATCACATTAGTTGCACTTGTCCTTTTACTTGGTAGTGTCAGTAATTTTACTAACGTATATACGCTGAATCCCTTCACAAAATATTGCAGCTCGCCAAGTCCCAAAAACCACTCGTTTGTTTCCATTCTTGTCTAACATGTGGCTGTGAATGGTAAAAGGAAAACTGACCACGTTTGGTATAAAATAACCACGGGTATTTTCTGGGATTTTTCCCCATTTCCTGGTATTTGATTAAAGCTATTATAAATGGCCATTTTTTTTTTTTTATTTTACTCAAATTTGGACTTTGTTCAGTATCTAGTCTTTTTTTTTTTTCTTTTTTTTTTTCTTCTGCAGATATGGAGGAAGTGTGAAATTAGTCCATTTCCTGGGTGCTATGAAGCCATGGCAGTACTCTTATGATACTAGTTCATCTTCAGTACATGTATCTTCTGGTTATGAACTTCTTGCTCCTTACCTAAACTCCTGGTGGGCAATTTATCTCAGCCTTGTTAAACCAGGGGTCCCAGAAATGGTGGGTAAAAGTCTGTTTCACTTTCATTAGTATTTTGTCCCTATACCAGTTTGAAAGTCTGAAACTTCCTGTCTTTAAAAATGCATTAACTTCTAGTTCACAGTAATTGCTGGCAGACTAGTATTACTCAGTTTTGGGATGTATGGAAGCATGATTGCATGTCTGAGTATCTAACAGTTTGGAGTAGTTTGTAGTTTCAAAATTAAAATGCCAAATAGTCATCTGGTTGACAGATGGAAGAGGTTTAAAATGTCGATATAAGCAGATGACATTAGTATAACACAAGTTGATCCTGGGCCTAATTGGACATTGTGTATCTCAACAGAAACATTGTGATAAATTTGCTGTAATAAGGAATTTAAAATAGTGACAGTGCAAGAGAGGATGGGGGAAATGTAATTGCTACAACTGCACATCTTTGTAGGAAACTAGTTGGATGGGAAAATTGGATGTCACATTGGACCTAGTTATATTGGTTAAAAATCATTAAAAAAAAAAAAAAAAAAAAAATCCACATCTAAGTAAAATTCACCAGTACAAGAATTGATATTAAACACACTTGACTATTACTAGGTGTATTTGGTGTACCAAATCTGCTTAGTGGAAATGTTGCATATTATGTTTTTGCTCTTATTAAATACTATATACCAGGTAAGTTTGTGCTGCCTGAAATGGACTGTAATATTCCTCTATTAATTTTTGTAGTGTTCTTATTTTACATTAACTTAATTTGTTAATTTAACATTTCCAAATTGTTCCTGAGGCTGCAAAGGTATCTTGAAAGGCATGTATTAATGTTGTGATGATTATTTTTTTCACACAGGATCTTCAAAGTGCAATAGAGGAGAAAACTCACATAGATGTACAGGTAAATCTTGGAAAAGTTTATGTACAGTGACATAGAATGTTGTGCAATTAATGTGCAATAGGATTTTATAAATAGGCCTTCTAAAAATAAATTAGCATAGAAACTCTAGATTAACAGTGTTGGGTCTAGTTGCTACATGTTAGTTTAACGTTAGTGAAATACTTTTACTAATTATCTATTTTCTCACATGCGGCTATTCAGGAAAATGACCTTAAAATCAGACACACTGAGGAAGAGCATGAACACCAATGTGCCTCAAATGTGTGTGATGATAATGAGGTAAAGAACAGTGTTCATTGCAAACTACTCTGCAGTATGGAGTTGGATAGTGAATGTGTATCTAATGTCATTTTTCCTAATGATAAAGACAGGAGTGGAAATAAGGAGACTGAAAACTTAGCCATGGCAGCTCCAACTGAGAGGGTGATAGAGGTAAAAAAAAAAAAAAAAACTTTAATATTTAACTGGGGCAGTGGCAAAAACTGGTTTTAATCTGAAATCCTTACTAAATGGTGGAAGACCTGACCTGCTTTGAGATCTTTATGCATGGAGTTCCTTAAATATTGGTATTTCTGGTGTTAATATCTTGGTGCTCTTTAATTTTGGCTCCATATATGGGACTATTAAATTTAAGTGCATTACCTTCTGGGTGAAGCTTCTTGGGACAGTCTAAATTTTAGACTTCATTTCTAGTTAGGCCCTTGTTTACTATGTTAAAGTATTAAGTAAGGAATTGTTTTGACAACTGTTAATGAAGGAAAGGGTAGCAATTACTCATGACAGTATAAAGTAGGTAGTATTCCTAAATGGGAAGAAATCCCTTACCACTTGAGGAATAAGTGGAGTGGAAAGTGCATAAACCTGCACAAAATGGTCAGACTGACTTTAAATTAGGTGATTGATTTCCTCTTGGCAGGGAGGGAGTGATTAATATGGTTTGCTAACCTTGAAACGGTTATTTTAAGTGTGGCATTATATAATGGAATTTATACTTCGTAAGGAATGTTACCTCCCCTTTAGGTGTAGTGCCATGGTAAATTCAAACTACATTGCTGTTCAGGGACTGAACATTCCACTTGGGTAGCAATTCTTTTTAGTGGCACCACACTATTTAAAACTGTATATACCATAACTGCAAATGTGGCCTCCTGGATAAAATTTTTTCTTTTGGACTAGTTTTAGAAATTGCCAGACACTTTTAAGCATTTATTTAAAGTTAACACTACACAGTTGAATATATAGATTGGGTAAAGGAATTTGAAAAGTATAATTCATAAAGGTTTTTTCTCATTTTTAAAGTACTATGTCAAGTCTAAACTTGTCATTTTCACGTACCGAAAAAATGCATGTGCTAAAGTATAAATTTTATCTAGATCTGCTAAGCTTCTAGTTTTTATTTGGATATTTAGGTTTTAATTCTATTGCTAGTTACTAACTTGTACATGGGCATCTTTAACCCCTTGACTGTTGCAACCCCAAATCCTGAGGTTTCTCCTGGTGTCAATCTCAAAAAAAAAAAAAAAAAAAAAAAAAAAAAAAAAACCCAAATTCTTATGAAATGCTAGAGAATCTTTTATACCAATTTTAGTGACACCAAAACAAAATTTGATGAAAAACTGATGGAATTACTTGCTAAGTTAGCAACCTCGGCGATATTAACAAATAGGCGATTTCACCCACTTTGAGCCTTTTTTTTTCGGCTAATTCCGTTGTTCCAGTCAACCAAACGCATAGCTATTTCTTTAGAACTCCATTTTTTCTATCAATTGAGTACAAGAAACTGCCCATTTACTGATTTCAACTACCCAATAACATGGTCAGAAATTTGCAATTTGGCCAATTTCACGAAAATTAAAAAAATTTCAAAATAGGGTCCAGAATGAACAATAGACATTCCTGGCTCTAAAATAACATTCTTTGTTCATCAGTCACATCTCTAGGCCCCTCTGATATTACTCTTGCTTTCTATTTTGAATTTTTATTCAAACTCAATAAGATTTACTGTTATGTAGACTACTGCAATATTGTAATAATCAGATAAATGTCAACCCATTCATGACTGCATATCAGAATGGCTACTTGGACATTTATTGGAAAATGACATAATTTGTTTACCTTTGAACATCAAGAAAAATAAAAAATTTCCCCCACCTTGAGCTCCACTTCAAGGTTCTTTTCATAGTAAAACCAATCAAAATCACCTTTCTATAATGTTTTCCATTCTATCAAATGAGACCAAGAAAGAGAATAAAACCATAAATATTATACAAAAATAGACCACAAATTCAGCATTTTAGTCTGTTTTTTTTTTTTTTTTTTCTCGTTATGCACTGCGTGCTGCAGGATCTTTTTGTGGTGCGCACTCATTCTCTTGCATGTAAGCCTACTAGCTTTCTCCTGCTTGATTTGAAGCCGCTAGAATTTGAGTATATATACGTCAAAAACAGTGGCTCGTAAGACATGTATACATATACGACCAAAACAGTCAAAGGGTTAAAATGGTAGATAAATTTTATTTGCACAAATAGCAACCCTTTACAAAGTTTTAATTGTAAGTAGTGACAAATTCTGCAATCTACAATTATTCCAAAATTGAGAAATTAATTTAGTGTTTAATTTAGCAGAAATATGCTTTATGCGCATACACAATTGGCAAGTGATAATAAATTGCTATACATAATTGCCTTGCCTAGGGGTAGATGTTGGAGGGAATACTAATAGCTTTAGTGGTGGCAACTAAAGCTATACTTAGTCAAAGTTTGGGTTAAGCATGCATTAATCATTTCTGGAAACTAGTTTAGTTTTACTTTGACCTCGTAAGTTGTGGTAGTAGCTGCATGCTTGGCAGTATTAGTAAATTTGTAGGCTCTGTTGCCCTAATCTGTATTCTCCTAGTCTTCAGGCAGGTTTAAAAAAAAAATTTAATCTGAGGATTGTAAGAATTTGCAATCATCCTTGCCACAATCACCAGCTTGTATATGATCCTTTAATTTTTGGCAGGTGTAATGCTGCACAAATTCTGATGCCTAGAAGGCAATCCAGCCACATGGCCTCTAGTTGCCCTAGAAATTTCAGTTCCACAAATCTGATTGTATGTATAGATGTCACTTGGGCAACCCTCTACATGGAAACCCTTCTGGGTTAAGTGGAAGATTTTTTCAGTGGTCCAAAATTTATAGCTTAAGACATTTTGAAGTGGCTGGGTCTTGACTTCAGCTCAAAGCATGAAATTAATGGGAACTGCATTACCTTCAATTTAAGATTAAATTGCTTAACCCTGTATATCTAGATAAACATGCAGGATAAATTTTATAAAGTGGTAGTTCTGCTACCCACCTACCTCATCCTCCCTTCCAGTGGCTAAATTCTATTAGGTCTTTGAAAATATACCTGTCGGTAGGAAATTTAATTGCCGTTTTATTAGTGTGGCGGTTTAATTTAGTGCTTTCCTAAACTTGTGGTTAAGCCTCGCCCCCTTAATTTTGTTTAAAGATGAATTTTAGACTGCAAGCTTTATGGTTCTTTCCTAAATTAAATTTTGATAAATAGATGGACAAGTGGAAATAAGGATGCACTCTGATACACTTTGACTATCTGTTCTTCAGTAAGTCTTCCCCTCAATTTCATGCTGGTGAGCGTTTTTTCTTGCTGTGTATTGTTCCCTTTCCAGAGTACACTGGTTAATGGGTACTTTCCACCTTTATAAAGGTGAAAATGTGTACAGGATGTTCAAAATCTATCCTAGCTACATAAATGCAGTCAATTTTTAGATTTCCTTAATATACACGACTAAACTGAATGTGCTAAACCAGACATTTGTCGTGTACCTTCAGTCTAACACTATTTAATTTTTACAAGTTGGTCATAAGTTTTGATATTAGCTCAATATAAATTTTAAATTTCCAAATAGAAAAGCCTAGTGACTTCAGTTATTGTTAATGTACATATTTATTACAGGGGTTTGAATCCTTCATATAGCTTTTAAAATTTGGTTGCATTCAACTCTGCTAATTGACACTTGTTATTTTTAACTCAGGTTGCCCAACAGTTGGCTGGGGTGAGCATTGGATCACAAAGCCTTCAAGAAGAACAGGCCAGGTGGGAACGTGGAGAACCAGAATACCTGGGTCGTGACTCTTTTGCAAATATTCAGGCTTACGTAGATTCTAAACTAAAAAGCGGAAAGTAACTAAACAGCAGGAAACTGCATATTGATTCTCAGTACTGGAGTGCCTGTGTAGAGTATGTCAAATTTGGCTAAATACATTTTCTTAAATTGAAAATATGCAAGAGCTTTGTATTTTTTGAACATAAATTAAGTTAGTAAATTTTTTTAATTGCACTTTCCCAATTGCAAAGCTATTTCTTATTACTGCTAGTTAGTGGTGTTAATAATTTGCCACTAAACTAGTGGGAGGGTGGTTCCTCTTGCTTCAGGTAGATGTGCCCTTACTGTTAACATTGGGCCCAATTATTTTTACTGGGAATTAAGTTGAATTGGGTAAGAATCTAGTCTTAATTTGTTGCTCAATTTGTTAAATATAGTTAACTGTGCCTTTATCAGTGTAAAGATTCTCTCCTGACTAACTGGCAGTCTGAGAGCTGGCAATATTTGCACATTGAAATGATAGTGAAAGATGGTGAGAAACCAGGGAAATTAAAACCTTAAATTTCATTGACATTCCGCATTGCCTGAAATAAAATTTAATTGTGCCAAATACTGATATGCCACTAATAAAGAGTAAGCATTATTTGTGATTTTATACCTTCCAAGATAAGTTATTGGGGGAGTGGGTTAAATTATACTAGTTCAGCTAATGCTGGCAGTTTGAGCAACTTTACATGAGCATTTTCCTCATTTTATTCCACATTCCTTATTAAAATTTCTTAGTGGCTTCCATATATTTTTTTATGGTTTGAACATGGTTGTCCTCTTACCTAATTACCCCCCCCCATTCTCCCCTCCCCTATCCCATCCTCCCCATCCTCCCCTTTTTCCATTCCTCCTCCTCACCCCTCCCTTTTGCCTTTCCTCTTTTTGGCCTTTGGGATTTCTCCCACAGGCGTGCTAGTTCCTAGGTAGCGGAAAGGACACCGGGGTCCATCCCATTCCGTTGAGGTTCTTGGCGGTGGCGTAGTTTGCCGTGGAATCTGGATTGCCTGGGGATGTCCCGATCCCTCTCCGGTATCCCGGAGTAGCTTTGGGTGTCTTTCGGGCGACTGGTGTATCTCTGGAAGCCACCTTTCAGATTCCGGGGGTGGTGGCCGAAGGAGGTATGCTTTGTGGCGGATATCCGGCCGCCCTCTTTTGTCTACCGAGGTAGCTCGGCAGATGTGAGGTTGCTATCCCGGATTGCTGGTTTACTGGCATGAAGGGTAGGGTATGGCACGGGTTCCTTGCTGCATCTGCGCTACTAGCGGTGCTGAGGTCCTCTTGGGGGCGGAGGGAGATTTCCGGCCCTTTCATTCCTCCTGGGAAATATTCCTCCCTGCTCCCCCCTTTTTTATTTTTTTCTTAAACAAAAAGCAAAGGAGTAACCTAACCATGGAGAACCCAATCCATGAACCCACTACCCCCGGGCCCCTTCTTGATACCGCACCCCATTCTGACCCTGCCTTGTTTAGACCACTCTTCAGACACTCCTGATGCCCCTGTACCTCTTGCTGGTGCTGTTTCCTCACCCGCTTCAGGTACCGGGGCTTCGACTGACTCCTTCGATTTGTCTGAACTCCGCTCTCCTTTGACTATGCTTCCGGCTTCTCCCTCTACGGTACGGCAACTTTCGAATCGCCCGCCCATTTCACGCCGGACCAACTCCGGTCCTATTCCTAAACGCCAACGTCAATCTCCTGATGATGCTCCTTCGTTACCTTCCCATTCTACTCGGAAAAGACCGACACGTCAAGCACTCCCTCTCCACGCTCAGTTTCGGACCACACAATGGACTAAATTCTTTAGTTTAAGACAGACTTCTTCTGCCTACCTTTCTGACCATAGTATTGGCAAAGCGCTCCTGCGTCATGTTGGTAGAGATTTCATTTCATGCTCTCAAGAGCGGTACGCGCATCGTCACTGTCCAGAATGCTACCCAAGCTCATGATCTTTCTCTCCTTTCGAATATCGACACTACTCCTATCACTATTGAAAAAACATCTCTCTCAATTCTTGTAGTGGTACTGTCATTCTGCCCCACACCATAGTCCAACAGAATTTCCAGTCATGTGGCAGACATTTTTGAACAGCTGGAACTCCAGGATCTCCAAATCCTCAATGTAGACACTTGTGTCCTTCCTGCCCGGGGGCGGAGACGTTACCCTTGCAATGTGGCACCTTTAACTTTTGACAGCCGAGAACTCCCGTCCTCTGTATGCCGCGGGACATTGGTTAAAAGTTCGAAAGGCGATACCTACACCGCAACAATGTAGAAATTGCTAGGGTTTTGGTCACCCAGCGAAATATTGCAGATCTATGGCCGAATGCCCAGTCTGTGGTGCCGACGACCATTCTAATACATCTTGCAGTCAACCTCCATCTTGCCTTAATTGTAATGAAGCTCACCCTTCGTACTCCCGCCGTTGTCAGGTCTACTTAAATGAACGTGAAATCCGTTGCCTCAAAGAGGCAGAAGGTCTCCCTTATGCTATGGCAGTTACTCATCTCCGCCTCCAAGGGAGACTACCCAGTGTTTCTTATTCTCGTGTTTCCAAACATCCCCCCACTTCTGGGGTCCCATCTTCTGCAGCCTCTGTTACCCCTCCCATAGCCACTCCGGCATCTAATCCTTTTGCTGTCCTTGGCTCTGACGTCCCGACTACAGATCAGTCTGTTCTCACATTTTCGTCCTTCCTCACAAGCCCCAGTATCGACAAGACCTCGTACGACACCTAATACCAATCGCCCCTCTACTTCTCAGAAGTCCAAAAAATCCACATTGCTCAAATCTTCTTTGCCCCTTCCTTCCCTTCTTCCACCTCCACACTTTACTTTTCCAGTCTCTGTACCTAGTTCTTCCCCTCTCTCTGGCTCTATTACAAGTGTGGAGATTCGCCCTCCTCCTCGTACTATGCCTTCCACCCCCGTCCCCTCCCAAGTTTCTCCCTCTTCTGCCACCTCCCAGGTTTCTGCCTCTTCTGCCCCCCCCCCCCCCACACTTCATCTCCAGTCCCTTACACTCTTCCCTCCCCCTCTACTTTGGTACAGTCCATTACTGTCCCAATCTTTACTCACCCTCCTCCTATCTCTAATATGGTCTCCCATACATCTTTGAATTCAGAAACACTTGAAGCCATTTCAGAATATATTGCAGAGACTAAACCTTCAATGGACACTGATTCACTTCCTGTTCCTTCTCTTCCCTCTCCTCCATCTTCACAACCCCATTCTTCGCAACGCTCCGTTTTTTCGCTACTTGAACGTCTTCCAATGCCACCACACGTTGACTTTCCTAACCCCTCTAGTCCGTAGGTGCCTTTACCTACAGATTCCTGGTATTTTCTTCATCGCCAATCATGGCCTATTTACAGTGGAATATCAGCGGCCTCAGGGGTAATCGGGGTGAGCTTCAGATGTTGCTTTCCAGGTTTTTCCCTGTTGGTGCTTGCTTACAAGAACCAAAATTACACCCGGCTGTCTCCCAACCTATCTCAGGCTATAATTTATTGTATTCTTCGAATCCTTTCTCAGATGGGACCTTTAATGAAAGTGCCCTTCTACACAATGATATTCCGTACTGTCAACTATGTCCATACCTCGCTGCATTTCACTGCAGCCCGTATCCACTTGAATAAGTGGTTTACAATGTTCCTTATCTCTCTCCTTCTCGAGCATTTTCTATCCCAGACTTTGCCTTTGTTTCATCCTTACCACCACCACTTCTGTTACTTGGTGATTTTAATGCCCACCATTTCCTCTGGGGGGGGGGGTCTCATTGTGACTCGCGTGGCATTCAGTTGGAGGCTTTTCTCGCCTCTCACCCCCTCCATGTTTTAAATACGGGTACTCCCACCCATTTTGATCCTCGTACTCATACTCTCTCTTGCATCGATCTGTCTGTTCTACCTCCACTGCACTAGACTTCACCTGGTCTGTTCTACCAGACTTACATGACAGCGATCATTTTCCGATCATTCTTTCTTCTCCTTCCTATTCACCACCTTTCCGTAGCCCTCGCTGGCAATTTGATCGGGCAAATTGGGATCTTTACTCACACCTCACTGCTTTTAGTGAGGTTCCTTCTTCATCCTCCATTGATGAGCTCCTGCACACCTTCTCGACATCAGTTTATACCGCAGCTTCTCATTCTATACCCCAAACCTCAGGCAGGCATTCTCAGAAGTGCGTGCCTTGGTGGTCTCCTGCTTGTGCTCGTGCAGTACGTTTGAAACGTGCTGCATGGGGCAGGTACCGGTACAATAGAACCGCTGAGAGACTTCTTGATTTTAAGCAGAAGCGTGCGATCGCTCGCCGTGTCATCCGTGAAGCTAAACGCACTTGTTGGCGAGACTATTTCCACCATCACTTCTGCTTCTATGAGTGCAGTCTGGAAAAAAGTAAGGAAATTGAGTGGTAAATACTCTCCTGACCCGGCTCCTGTTCTACAGGTCGCTGGTGTTGATGTAGCAAACCCTCTCGTTGCCATTGAACTTGGCACACATCTGGTCAGTATTTCCCGAGGGCTCCATCTATGCCCCTAGTTTCTTTCCTCAAAATCTGCCCGAGTTAGTACCCTTGGACTTTTCTTCTCTCAGAGAACAGTATAATGTGCCTTTTACACTTCAAGAACTGGAGGCAATGCTCTCAGCTTGCCGATCATCGGCAGCTGGGCCTGATGACATTCATATTCGTATGTTACAACATTTACATCGGTCAGCCCTTGTAGTCCTCTTACACCTCTTCAATCTTATTTGGGCACAAGGAGTTCTTCCACAGCTGTGGAAATCTGCCATTGTTCTCCCTTTCCGCAAACCGGGTACTACAGGACATGATGCCTCCCACTATCGCCCCATCGCTCTTACTAGTGCAGTTTGCAAAGTGATGGAACACCTCATAAATCGACGTTTAATGTGGTATTTAGAGACTCGCAACAGTCTCTCCACTAGTCAATATGGCTTTCGTAAGGGTCGTTCTACCATAGACCCCTTACTACGCTTGGATACGTATGTTCGTAATGCCTTTGCGAATAATCACTCGGTTATTGCCATATTTTTGACCTTGAGAAGGCATATGACACAACTTGGAGGTATAATATTTTGGCCCAGGCCCATTCCTTAGGCCTCCGAGGCAATCTACCATCCTTCCTTAAGAACTTTTTAACTGACAGACATTTCCGTGTTCGAGTCAATAATGTTCTTTCCCCGGACTTCGTCCAAGCTGAAGGTGTCCCTCAGGGATGTGTTCTAAGCACAACACTTTTTCTCCTTGCTATAAATGATTTGGCCTCTGTTCTTCCACCCAATATTTGGTCATCACTCTATGTTGATGACTTTGCTATTGCTTGTGCAGGCGCTGACTGTCACCTTATTGCAGTTTCTCTCCAGCATGCGGTCGACCGTGTTTCCACTTGGGCCACCACACATGGGTTTAGATTTTCAAGTACCAAAACTCGCCAAATTACTTTCACTAGACGCTCTGTTATCTCCGATCATCCTTTGTATCTCTATGGCTCCCGTATCCCCGAACGTGATAGTCAGGTTTCTAGGCCTTCTCTTTGACCGTCGGTTAACCTGGAAACCTCACATTACCTCTCTGAAG